GCCCCCCTCCGCCCGCCCGGCCCCGGGGAAGGTCCATCGGGGCTCATCTTGCCTGTGCTGCAGTATTGGTCTCAGTTGATAGCGTTAATGTAGCTTTGCCTGAAATAGTTTTTGCCTTAATTTCGTAGAAATCACCCTCCACTATTAGGCAGGTGTTGTAGCTTGAAACTGAGTGAAACCCCAGCAGTTATCTAATTGCCAATGGGCTAGAGAAGGCCCAAAACAACAGAGACAAGGCCGTGGTGTCTAGTGAAACAGGTTTCAGGCGGCTTACGGTCAAAAAACATTGACGAGATGCCAATCAAATCTTAGGAGTGTTCGTTAAGACTGCACATGCTCCCAAGGAGACATTCACTCAGGGGACACAAGAATTTCAACCACCTGTAGCAGAAGGTGACACTGACGTGGTGAATAAAGAATTCCCGCTTTCTAAAACTCCAAAACAAGCCTTAGCTCGTTTAGTTCACTGGTTTGCAGCATCACCTCCTCCTGAGCACTGAGGAGCTGGCTCTCACCAAAGCAGCCCCGGTAACCCACGGGGAGAGGGCAAGTGGAATGAAAACAGCCCAGGGAGCCAGTAATGAAAGCAGCTCCTGCCACCCCTAAACTTGCCCTGGAAATCGCTGGGGATAAGAAGGGCGTTCCCGAAGCCGATCACCATGCAGAGGTGGTTTCTGCCACAGGAGCCAGGGAACCAGCCCCAGCCGGGGTGGGGGGGAGTGGCTCAGGGCCCTGGAGCCAGGACACAGCCCCCCCTCGGTGCCCAAGTGAAGCTACAGACCATATTTTACCCTGAAGTCAAGTAGTTCCGTGTTTGCATGGAGGTAACAAAGTTGAAAACTGGATTCAGAGAGCTGATTTTTAATATTTTAGGTGGCTTTAAGGGACTTGATTACCCTGAGTCCTGCTGCTTTGCCCCAGAGCTTCTCTCTGCCCACAGGGGAGGAGAACTGCTGCCTTTCCTGTCACTGATCTTCTTTCTAATTGGTTAAAATTCTCTTTCTTGAAACTACTTTTTCTTTCCAGTATCTTTGCCTCACCAAAATTAAGGGCTATTTTCCTGGATGTAGAGAGGACTGTGACAAATAAAAAAAACAAAACCAAAAACATGCATCATGCAATGCTGGGGCTGTTTTTGAGGCCTCTTGGTGCATACAAACGCCAGTTGGCATGCAGAGCTGAGATTAATATGTTTTATTCATTCACTTTTCAAAAAGAGCAAAACTCCGTATACAAAGTAAAAACAGCCAATAAAAATATACTCTGAGTTATGAACAATTTAAACAAGACATTAAAATCTTTACCTCACAGCTTTCAAACACATCCTGTACAACAAGCATTTGTAATTATTCCTAGCGAGAAGCTTTTCTAGAGGAATCCAGCCCAGGCGGAGCAGCTCAAGGCAGCCCTGCCTCCTGCCTGGTGCTGACCACCAAATCTTTCTACAAGAGAGCAGCAGTAGCAATCTTTCTGCAAGAGAGACACATTTACAACTCGTTCCTCTTGGTTCTTGAGTGTCAGTGCATGTCACGCGGCAAAGGAGCTATTGTTCCGCAGGAAAGAGCGGAGAGGGGCTGCCGCGCTGCCCCAGAGCCCAGCCCTGGCATGTCGCAGCGGCAGCTCCTGCCTGGCACGGATCGGCACACTCCCAGGCGGGAGCGGTCAGGCATGGCTCATTCTCCACGCAAGGAGCTGGGAGTCCGTCTCTATGTGCACGCTCACCAGAACTGCTTCTGAATAATCTGCTTTCTATGGAGAAAGATAAATAGTGAGGGGTGACCCCAGCAGGTGACCTTCTAAGAAGAAGTATTTCACTAACCACAGCTCAGTTTTCTCTTAGAAATCATTCCTGTGTGCTTGGCAGGCCCCGGGTGGAGGGGAAAGCCTTCAGAACAATGGCTCACCTGTCCCAGTGGAGATGTACACCTCCTCCCAGGTGTAATCACCCAGGTTCACGGGCTGCTTCAGCCAACAATCCTCTACTAACATGGCTAGAGTTGTGCGCTGCTCAGGAACAGGATGCAAAAGCCCAGCCATGAGGTTCATGAGACCTGGGGAGAGACAGCAGTGAGGAGAATGGCTCAGGCTGCATTTTAGGCATGCTGGGAATGCAAGATATAGTTTATATTCAAAGAACGCAGATTTTAATTACAAATCCTCCCCTTTAATCCCTTGTGCCACAATCTCTGTAAATCCCTTTTCTGCCAGTCTTAGTGACGTGTTCAGCTCTGGGAATGATCTGAGGTTTCCAGGTTGTGAAAACAGGGAATGGAGCGCAGAGTCATGACACCGAGGAGGACAAAGTAGAAAGAAATGCCCCAGAGGCAACCCTGACTGACTGTTTCCAAACCGTCTTGTCCTGCAGTTCTCCCATGTCTGAGCTGTGATTAAAGGTGTGCTCAGAGCTCAGGTCAAGCTCCCGGAATTTACCAGTCAGCTGCAGCACCCTGAAGCCTGGTAACCATAGTGGCTCCTAAGGACCCCAGAGAACTTCTCCATGAAGATTTTGTTAGCCTGACATGCAATTAGTTTTCTATACCTTCAACTGAAAACAAGGCCAATGTATTTTTCCTGTGAGGTCAAGCCATACAATTCCTTCAGAAATTAGAAATTAACACATTATCATCCATCCTAAGAGTGACATGGCATTGACTGGCAGCAGTACAAATGAGAGAAAACTTGCCTTAGAGTTAAGACTGCCATTATTGATCTAAAAGTTATCTGCTAGAATGAACTTTCCCATCGGGCATTATTTGTTCTGGTTTTCTCAGGTATAAACCTCACTGAAGCTTAACAAGCTGAGAGGCTGAGTCATCATAATAAGTGGGAGGCCTGGAATTTGAAACTAAGAAAAAGTATCGCAGTTAGCTGTATTCATCGTAGGCATGAAGAACCACAGAATTTACCTGAAATGGATACCTCTGCTTGAGTGAGCAGCTTTTAAAATCATTGCAGAGCAAATTTGGAAGCATTTCCCCAGTCTTCCCCTTTATTTACAGGGAATAAATACTCCTCATACTTTCCCAAGAGATCTAGTCCTTTAGAAAAGCAAATGGGAAAAATTTACCTTTTGACACAGGCCAAGGAGGGTTCAGGACAGCTGCCATGGCCTCCTCCAGCTCACAGAAGGGATTCTCTCCAAACACCAGGGTATAAAGTGTGACACCAAGTGACCACATCTCCAGCTCAGGGCCGTGGTACCTATGCAGAGATAAACTTGCACAAACTGAGATTGCAAATTGCGTTCTAAGGAAAGTAAAAAGAAAAAAGGCAGCTGACAGCCCTTTTTCCCCTTTTTTAACATAGGAAGTTTGTGAGAATTCTAGTAAGTTTCTCGTGCATTTGAGAAGTCTGTATTATCCTTCTCCATGAAAGAAAAACAACCAAAGAATGGCCAACCAGTTCCCCTTGATGAGTGTGTATAATATGCACCTAGACTTCCACATGCCTAAGCTGGTGGTGGCAAGAGAACTTCAGCCCCCTCCTTCTTCACCAAAAACCAAAACTATGAAGAAAATATCTAAATGGAAGATCAGACACGTCAGTGGAAGCCCATTTGGTCCCTCCCATCCCTTTCAAAACAAAAGTTATTTGGAAAGAAATATGAACTATCTTAGAGTCCGTCTGAGAAAAAGGGGCAGTTTCTTCACACAGTAACAGGCTGAATTCCCAGGGCAGCGCTGCTTCAGCTTCCATCTAGCTCCCAGCAGGGATTTCCTCCCCTCCTTTCATAGGTTCTTCCCCCCCCATATCGTTCAGAGGAGCTGCCTGAAGGACCCATGAAAACAGCTAAACAGCTGTGAAATGAGAGCAGGATAACATCAAGTAAGTACACGTACAATTAATGTTTACCACCCTGTGATGTAAGGCTTCCTGCTGGGAGTGGGTGTGAGACTGCCAGCCTCCGGGTAGAGTGTGCTCAGAGAAGGAGAGAGTAGGGAAAAGACAGCTAAGATTTGGGCAGCACAACAAGACAGCAGCAAGGGAAGAACCCTTGAGTCCAGAGGAGCACAAAATCAATGGTGAGATGAACAACGATCAAACTGCAAAAATCCATACGAGGAAGCAAGTAGGAAAGAAGGGAACAGATGAGATGAGAGAAGAAGTACAAAACCCAGTCATGGTAGGGGACAGTTGCTATCCAGCAATACTTGCTTACAGCACCTCTCTAAAAGAGCAGCTCGTCGCAGAGACACGTCAGCGTGTTCCCATGCAGGTATGAAGAGAAGGTTAGTGAGCTGATGTCCGTATTGTGAAGGATTAAAGAAAAAGGACACATTCAAGTCACAACACAACTCATCCAGACTGTTCTACCAGGCTGGAAATTTAAATCATAAGCTTGTTCTTGAACTCAGCTCTGCAGGAGCACAGACATTTGTACAAGGCTTTGCAAGGCATCTGACCAGAGTAATAAACCCTGTCAGACTTAGTCAGAAACAACTTCATATATATTCAGACCTTTCCAAGTAATTTCTTCACTGCAGTGCCCTAAATCTACAGTTTTCTGTGGTTACTGCAGCAGAGTACCAATGACAAAGCAGCTTGGTTTCTCTGTTCCAGCCCTGCACACACACTTTTTTTTTTTTGGTGCGATGGACACAGAAATTACTTTTCAGAGGGTGACATACGGTTTGCCAGACAGCACTTCTGGTGAGCAGTATTCAGTTGTCCCACAGAAGGTATAAAACAATTTGCCGGGTTCCAGGTAGGCAGCTGAACCAAAGTCCACTAATTTAATTGTGAAATCTTCAGCAATGACAATGTTTTCATCCTTGATATCTCTGTGAAGGATGTTTCTACAGTGGAGATACCCAACAGCTGATACAAGCTGAAAAAGGAGGAAAGAACTAGGTGTTACTACACAGAGGTGTCCTTCTGGATGATCTACATGGTATCAGAGTTCTGATAGCCCCATTTTGGCTTGTTTTGACACTATATAAATAAGATATAGATCCTAATTTTGGTAACTGGAAACAAACGCAGGCGTGCCTGTCAGCATTGCTGCAGTGGGTGTTACAATGTGCTTGGGAGAGAGACTTAAAAAAAAAAAACCTTTGCTTGCTTTCCTCTCACAAACATGCAGGAAGATGGCACATTATAGTCACAATGTGCTTGGTTTTTTGGTTAGAAGCATCGGAGCTTACTGTTACAATTCTGCAGATTACTCTATTTTTATTCCAGCTTCATTTGGAGGGTCCTTTGATTTCTCCAGCAGGATATTACTGTGTGCCTCCGATACTGCAGGATGACAAAGCATTTAAGAGTGACGTTTGGTATAAACAATATAGTCACTCCTAAATTCCATTCTTCTTCCTGCACGATTCATGCTATAGTGCCGTAATTAAGAATAGCATCAGAATTATATCACCTTGGAGACAATCGTGATCCCTACCACAATACATTTGAGCAAGAAAAGCAGATGGCTGAGGGAAAGAAGTTTCTATTTATAATACAAAGCTCCCCCTGCAGAGAAATACTGTACAGGCCTGAAGTAACAGAGCACCCCTACAAACTCAAGGCTGGTTTAGGAAAAGGGCTTATCCGTCAGAAGTCTAAAGGGACCGCAGTTTGTGAATGCACACTGTGCAGCAGACATGGAGAAAGTGCATCGCTTTGGCTACTGACTTCCACCAGCGCCCCAGCTGAGGGGAGTGCGGACACAGCGGTGGGTTACCACATGCAAAGTAGTTCTTGCATACCTTAGAGTGAGGAATTTACTCCAAAACATGTGAAAGGGAATTACTGGGGGACTGCTGTTGCAGTTAAGTCAATAAAGAAAGGACAATTCATCTCTCAGGCAAACTCCTGACCTACAGTAAACAACCTTGAGTTATTTTGCATTCTGCCATGTTAAAAGCCGAGTTAATTTCTTGATTTTAAATTCCTTAAAAAGAGGAGAGCCCTTTACACCCATAACCACTCAAAACCAAGCATTGATCTAAGTGGAAGCGTGGCTTTTAGTGAGGCTTGGGGTGACTTCCATGGGCTTTCTTCCTCCCACAAAGGAAATGTGACTGCTATATGAATGGGCATCTTGGTGACAGGGGGCACGTGCAGTGACAATCATAGCCATGGGGTCATAGCTCTATAGGAAATCCTCATACGAAGGTCCTATTCAGCATGCCTGCTGATTATCCAGTAATTCTTTTGAGTGAAATAGGGTCCTGGTTCTTACATTAACCAAATCTTACCTGCATGTAGCAACTGTACATCCCCAGCTCTCACCTGTCTGAATATATAGCTTGCTAACGGCTCGTCCAAGTTGGGCTGATTATCAATGAATGTAAAGAGATCCAGCCCAGATCCATGCTTCTCCATCACCAGCTGGAAGAAGTGCTCATTTTCAAATATATCCAGCACCTATAAATGACAGACTTTTAAAATCATGTGCTTCATCCTCAAACTGCCTTTTTTTTTCCCCCCCCAAAGAAACACTGCTCTCCTCTTGGGGCTTGAATCAATGTGTATTACTGTCTTCAACGTCTCATTTTACTGAGCACAAATGTTTCTTGAAAAGACAGCAGAATTAAAACTGACAGCAGAACCAAAAGCAAAACCAAGGAAAACAAACCAAACAAAACCTAATACAACAATCCCAAAACAAAGAACAGGAATCAAGATATGCATCCAGATTATTTACTGAACTAGTACACATTCAGATGTGACATCACACTTCCAAGATAAGCATCTTATCATCTTGAAGTAACAGACAGACTTTTTTCTGTTAGAGTCACACCTTCAGATCCATGTTTACATCAATTGTTTGGGCTAACAGTGTCAAAGCAAGCAATAGTCTGCTGTAACATATCCTCCAAACCAAAGCAGGACAGGTAGGTTCTTTCCTGACAAAGCATATTTAATACAGGACACGACACCAAGTATTCAAAGAAACCCTCTGATGCAGTTCCAACTGCATTCACTCTCAGTTCACCGTACCTTAATGATATTGGGGTGCTGCAGCTTCAACAGGATTGCAATTTCTTGAGTAACTCTCCCCAGATCAGGATCATCTACCCAGCAGTCCTCAAGCACTCTCTCCTTCCAGATGAACTTCACAACAACCTACAGAGACAACAGCACTCAGCATCACCTGCAAAAGTATGACTTTAAGTGTTTGGTAAGTTAATTTCCAAGAAAAATGTTATTGAATCGTATTACTAGAAGGACAGAAGCAAGCAAATGCACATTACTTATAGTATCTTTAAACATATTTAAACAAACTTAGTTCTAGAAGCCAAGTGATGCACAGAGATGGAATATATTTATTTTCTTTTTATTGGTACTCTGAATTCTAAAGGCTTTGACAGGCCAGCTCTCCTGTAAACCCAGCTACAGGCACAGGGGTACAGTGGAGGGAAACGAGCACTTAACACCCATGCAGAGAAACGCCAGAGCTTGCCTCTCAACAGCCAAAACACTTCTGCTGATAAAGGTCCCATAACCTCAACTTGTCTACTCCATGTTCTTGAGTTGTGGCATGATAAAGGCTTTGAAGTTTGTCATTCTCTTTAGTAACAGAAGACTAAAACCTGCTATTCTGTTAAGCTTAATGTATGCTTCTTTCAACAAGTTAAATTAGCTGCGTGGTCAGGCTCATTATGTGCCTGTTGTCTTAGGTAACAGTTCATATACTACATCTGTGCGAACATTTTGCTGGCCTGTTTTCGTGAGGTTAGTGATTTCAGATTTCTGTTTAAAAGGTAAACTCTGCATTACCAAATATCAGCTTTTAATAGTGTAGTGTTGACAGAATATGAACGCTCTAACCCTTCAGTTTTCATCCTAAATAATTACTGCAATGAGATCTAAAAGAAATATTTAACCTCCTGGTGGTCTTTCTTGCTTCTAGCAGTCCAGACAAAGCCAAAAGATCCTTTGCCAATGAGAATGAGTGTGTTGTAATTTTTTGCATATTCCCCCTCACATGCCCTTAGTCCTTCAAGCTCTTCAGCTCTTTGGGAATTCTCAAAAAGTGAAGTTGATCTGATGGCCTAGGTACAGATTTAAAAAAAAGAGCAATAAAAAAAATGAGCAAGCTACACATTCTTCACATTTATAAAATGAAGTAAATACTGAAAAGAAAGGACACAGCTGCAAGAACTGTATGCTTATAAGACAAGTCAACAGTCATCTCTCAGCAGCTACAAATACTGCTTAGTTCAGAGAAAGGTAGAGAAAACAGAAGCGTACACACCATAGATGCTCACAGAAAATTCTCTGTGCACGTAGGAAAAGGAATTAATTGTGTTTTATCATGAAATGATAATTTTATAAAAAATAGGTTACTTGCAATGTTGCAATTTTACCAGGTAAATGTATTCTAGATGGACAGAACTAAAAAAGGTGCTGCTTTAAGCCTAGTCTGTAAATTCAGCGATTTCTATTTGCCTCAGGAACTTAAAAAGACTTAATATATAAAAGATATTAAATTACCAGTGTTTACCAAACCTGGTAAGATAGCATTTGGGTTCTGTAGATCGGTCTTTTAGCAGACATGGAGAGGAAACAAGTTTGAGGCATACCCTCTTGAATTTTAATACCCCAGTAAAATCCTTCATAAAGAAACATCACATGCCTTCGTACCAAGGCCTGCAACACTGCATGAGAAATTAAACACAACAGAAGTGTTTCTTGCTCTGAGGATAGGGCTTGGGGTTGTTTGTCTCGACAATTATTAGGTTTCTCTATCAAAAATGGTGTCTAAAATGCATGATAATAGAACATCTTTATGACAGACACAGTATTCCATACTGAGAGGAAACACAACAAATCTCAGGGGGGCATTCATTTGGAATAGTGAAATACATGAGATGGGCAGAACGGCTTCTATGTCGACATATGTGTGCATGTACATGGAAGATGATTTTCTAAAAAAAAAAAACTAAACCCAAGAGCCATCTTATTACTCAGCTCTCAAAGGTCTCATAAAAATATTCCAAGTAGAAAGTTTTGCCAATAGCCAAGCTTTTCACTCGGGTATCTGCTTCATCTCCCAGCTCACTGGTTAAAGGCAGGGGAGGGAAACCACGTGTCTAATCTGCCACACATCGCAGTAAACAGCAGCTTCTCCAAGTCTCTTGTAGTTTGGAACTGTCACCACTATATACGTTACACACGTGATCTCTAAACATGCATCTACTTCTCTGTTAAGGTCGTCATAAGATCAAGCTACGTAAAGACCTGGGGAATGCATAGATTTATTCAAGGGATCTAGAAGATCACCATTACCTATTTCAATTGATCAAAGATAACTATTTTCCTCTACAGCCTTGGTCAAAATACTGTCAGTTCTACATCCCACTACTAACAAAAAGCAGGCCTGAGCAGTTCTGTGTTTGGGTTTTAGGGCACTGATGTGTACCTACTGCTCAGCTATGCGGCGTTAGCTTTCTGTAGCATTCATCCTGAATGCAGCATCTCAGGAGGCAGCTAAAAACTGCAGCTCTCTTTTGTCAACACAAATCAGTCAGCGGAAGTTTTCAGCCTAGTATTTCCTTTTTTAATAGCGCTGTGTCATTGGTGCCGGTGGGATGGGATTGCATTGATTTAAAAATTAATCTCACCACACTGTTGCAAATCTCTGTTGTAGATGTACTTAAATCAGCCTAAGAACAAATTTAAAATTATGTGTTTCATTGTTCAGACTGGAACTAAGCCAAACACACACTACCAGAAATGTCACAAAACAGCAATTTATCCTTTTTACAGCAAACATTTCTTTTCACTTAAAAATAGGGGAACAAAGGAACAGCAATATCTGCCCACTACCTCATAACATAATTTTAATTAAAAACTTTTTCAACTTCAGCTTAACAGTCAAACAAGGAGAGAAATGCTCAACATTATAAAATGTTAGAATTTCTTACTTCTCCAAAACTATGTGTAGAAAGATCCGCAGTAGACTGGGCAGAGCTTGCTAGGCTGGAGAGCAAAAGCTGCGTCTTTGCTACAGCTTCTTTCTGGCTCTGTAGAAGGTCTTTCACCACCCAGATGCAGAAAAGGATGGCATGGTCCTGCAGTTCTATACATTTCACTTCAAAGAGTATACCTGTAGAAACAGATGAGGAAGTTAAAATGGTAGAATGAAACTTTAGCATTGAAGGACAATTTAGGACAAAATTCTGAGCTCTTAGCAAAGTGAATTCCTCTATTATTTATTTGGGGAACACCTACTCAGTCAGGAACCATCAGAGGGGCTGACAAAAGCACAGCTATTCTAGAGATACTTGGCAGCTACCTCCATAGTTCCCACCCCCCCGCAGAAATTTTTGTCAGTGTTCAATTATGACTACTAATTTCACACTGTTATTCTAAATTACAAAAAAAAAAGGGGATTTTCTATAACCCACAGAATCCAGCTGAAGAAGTGAACATTCCGTTTAAATACAAATTCTACAATGAAGTTTATCTTTTCTGTTCAGAAAAAGTTATCAGGTTCAAATCTTTTAATTGTGCTTTAAGAATATTTCTGACTATTCAGTCTGGATGAATTGTAACTTTGTATTTTATACCACCTGCTTTTCCAATACCCTCTGAGTAGCCTTAAATACCCCTTTTTATTCTAGATGCTAGAGCTTCTTCCTTCTGCTCCACTGTGAGTTTCCAACCAGAACTGTCTGCCTTCTGCTGAAGTGTGAGGAAGAGCATCCCGACAGAGAGTTTTGTAAATACCCCTTTTTATTCTAGATGCTAGAGCTTCTTCCTTCTGCTCCACTGTGAGTTTCCAACCAGAACTGTCTGCCTTCTGCTGAAGTGTGAGTGAGGAAGAGCATCCCGACAGAGTTTTGTGAAGGGGAGAAATAGGTTTAACTTACTTAATTGTGAACCATCTCTATGACAGCAATTCCCAGTATAGCTGCCTTCCAGAATCTCCAGCATCAGTGGAGCTGCTGGATTCAGCCTTCCTTCTCGTTTCACTGGAGTCGATGTTACTTTTATCTCCATATTTTGCTGTCCATGCAACTGACGGTCTTCTGCAGGACTACCTTCACTTTTCAGTGGGTTTCTGTTGATGTTGGCCCCCACAGTCTCTGTGAGAGTTTCAGGCTTCTCAAGAAATGCTTTGGAGGATTCTTCCCTTTGGGAGGCCAGCCAGCCAGAACCATCTTCTATGGCACCAACATTCGACAGCTGCTTTTCTTCCCCAGTTGAAAAGGCACTGGTTTTCTGAGTTAGCATATTGCCTACAGCCGAGTCCACTGCTTGAGAGGAGGATGCTCCTATAAGAGCTGCAGTAATAGCCGAACAATTGTCCGAGTTCCCCTTGACACCAATATTCAGACCCAGTGCCTCAAAACCAGAGCAAACACAGTTCAGCTCAGTGTCTGATTCTTTAACATCTTCAGAGGTTGCAGCAACTCCTGGTGCAAAAGCACTACAACCTGTTTTATTTCCTGAGCAAACATCGTGGATAGTATTTCTTCCATTTGCAAAGAAGGATGAAGCATCATTTAGCGGGCAGTTTTCAACGATGACGTGCTCAAGGCTGGAACATTTTGCATCGCACATCAAGTTTGTTTTTGACAACTGCCCTGTAACCGTGCAGCTTTGAAAGACTTGCCTGCAGCCTGGTGTTGTCCCAGGCCACGGTTCATCTATTGTTGGTGTCCCAGGTGAGTTACAAGTAACATCAGAAGGTGGTTTAATTGCACCATAGGACGCGGTATCTAGATTGTCTTCTAGCCTAGAACAAACAGGCGACCAGGCAACAGGTGCTGAAGAATCTTGTGTCCTGACATCAGTGGAGTGCTGATGCTTCAGCATGTCATACCTGCAGAACTGCTGATGATTTACTTCCTTGAGGTCTTGAAGATGAACTTGTAGTTGGTTAGGCAAGATACTACTCTCACCAGCATTTAGAGACTCAGATGCACCAGATACTGTACTATCACTGCTACTTACTGGAATCTTCATGTTCTGACCTAAATCCAGCCATTCTGCATCAGATGACGGGGGAGAGAGCCTTGCAGAGAGCATCTTTTGAGAATTATTTGGTCCTGCAGTTTCCACTGTTCTACACTGTTCCACTGCTCTGATTCTGCCAAGCCAGGTTTCAGGGTAAGGCTCTCTGTGGTGGGCTGACAGCCCGTCAGTAGCAATGCTGTCTTCACTGCAAGGATTCAAAGTTATTAGTGATATCACGATGACAAAAGAATGAGAAAACCGTCATACTGTATACTACCTACTCTTCTGTTACTATGGTGGCTATTTAAAACCTGCACCAGTTGTTTTATTTTTAAGTTTAAAAGAAAAAGGCAGAAAGCTGTTGGCACAGGCATCTGAAATCCTAACAAATTTCATCTTGATGAAAGAAAAGCAGGTACGCT